CGGCCCCCACCTCACCCGCCACTCCCACCAGCACGCCGGCCAATCCCGTGCCGCCGCCCGCCTCTACGGCCACGCCCCAGGAGCAGCCTGCCCAACCCCCGCCCGCCCAGGCCGCCTCCACCCCTGCCCCCCCGCCACAGCAACCCAAGAAGAACCTCTCCCTCACGGTGAGATCTCCGCCGTGCTGCTCTTAACACCGAATGGCGACCCCCCCCCCAGGCCTGGGCTGACGCTGCCGTGTCTCCCCCACAGAGAGAACAGATGTACGCCGCACAGGAGATGTTCAAGACCGCGAACAAAGTCACGCGGCCGGAGAAGGCGCTCATCCTGGGCTTCATGGCGGGGTCCCGAGGTACCGCTGCCCGCAGGCCGCTCTGCCGCACCCTGGGTCGTTGGTCTGCTTTTCATTTTCTAATTTGGTTCTCATTTTTATATCATTTTCAAATTTAACTTGAAACCCAGTTTAGTTTTAGTTTCCATTTGATTTTTACAATTTATTTTAAAGATCGATTTAGTTTTTATATATTAGTTTGCATACTCATACCTGCAAAATGAGCATGTTCCTGTGGGCTGTACTACGAAGCGGGTTACTGTCTTATCGGGGTAACTCAGATTTAAGGTAGTCTGGGCAAAATGTAAGTGAACGAGTATGAAGTCCATTTAAACTGTGGTACCTTAAATCCGACAAGTTACCCTGATAAGCCAGTAACCCCGCTTCGTAGTACAGGCCATTGGTATCATTAATGGTAATTAAAGATCATTACTTTAGCTAAATGATATTTAAAAATGGTAACAAAGTATTTGACATTTGCTTTTATTTTAGTTTAGTTTTGGAAGCAATAGTTAGTTTTCCTTTATTTCCTTTCCTATTTTATTTTGGTATCTTTATTCCAGTTTACAAGAATGTTTTCTTATAGTTTATTTTTAGTTGTCGTTAAACGTCTCCTACTGGAGAGTTCTGTGCTGAGGAAGGCGCTGTGCTTCACGCTCCGCCCCCCTGTCTGCAGAGAACCCGTGTCCGGAGCAGGGCGACATCATCCAGATCAAGCTGAGCGAGCACACAGAGGTGCTGCCCAAGGCCGACGGCACCGGCAGCACCACCATGCTGGTGGACACCGTCTTCGAGATGAACTATTCCACGGGCCAGTGGACCCGCCTGAAGAAGTACAAGCCCATCACCAACGTCTCGTGAAGGGGGCGGGGGGAGCGGGGCTGGGCGGGGCTTCTCGTGCCCCTCCCATTAAAAAAACCGGTGGGGGGAGAACAGGAAGTGGGCCAGATCCGGCTTGTAAAGATGGGGGGATGGGGTGGGGTTTGGATTTGGGGTACAGGATGGAGATGGGGGCAAAGAGTGGTGACATCCCGTGCGGGTGGAGGTTCGGGTGGAGATCCGCTGAAGCTGACGGAGCCCCCTCCCCCCTTTGCTCTGCCCGCCGTTGCCCCTGGTCAGGGACCTATCAGAACTCTCTATTTTTTTGGTTTAGTTTTTAAAGTCCGTTCAGATTCCGCAGATGGCGCCGGGTCTCGGCGTGAGGATGTGAGCAGTTTGTGCAGATTCCCGCCCATTAGAAACACAGACGCAGCATATGACACGATCCTCCTCTTCTTTTTTTTTTTTTTTTTTTTTTGTTGTCAAGTTGTTTTTGAAGCATTTTGGTGGATGTTTGTATTTTCAACCTTAAGAAGGGAAGAAATAAACCACAAACTGTCTTGGTGTCACTGTCCGACTGTTATGCTTCTTCTCTACTTCCTGTTTTAGTTTTCGGCTCACAAAGCCCCTCTGCTCACACTGGCAGTGTCCGCCTAGACGTGAGACAGCCGGACGGAGGGAGAGGGTGGGCTAAGTTTGACCCGCTTGCCTCTTTAAATGTCCTGCCGGAACCCGCCGGAACCCTGTGGTCTCTGCTGGCAGATGTGGCCAGATTCCACAGAACACAGACGTAAGAGGGCTACAGACTACCGATGTAAGAGGGCAGTTATTGGTGATCTAAACTCTAACTCATCTGAATGGGACTAGTAATGGGTCGCTTATTTTCTTACTGGTTAGTCCAGTTATTTTCTATAATTAGTAGCAATGGTGAGATCATTCAGCCCAACACTGATACACTGTGGCTTTGTGTCAGGGCTGGTGAAACATGGTAATCAGTTTTTTTTTTTCTTTTTACACAGAAAGACAGCAATGAGCCTATAGACTGTCTGAGGCCTTAAGTCAAATGCCATATTACACTAATTTCTTTTGGCTTTTCCTCCAGCTTGAAGTGGCCCAGATCTTTGGGTTGGTCACTCATTGGCAGGTGCCCTTTAAGAGCCCACATGCAGTCTGCCCTGTTAAAATATCACATGGTTAAAACAGTGACAGTCAGAGCTGCTGTACCTTGAGCAGATCAAGCAGTCTTGGTTTTGCTGAGCATAAACCTGTTTTGATGCAGAACTTTCAGAGTTATCCTACAGAGTTTGTCACGATAACACTCAAATACTCCTTTATCCTGTGTACCCTGTAAATCAATGCAAACATTGAGTATTGGGGGGGGGGTGTTCAGGCTGTGCCAGGCTTTCCTGTTATGGAAGATCTCAGGCGTGTCATCCAAGCAGAAATGGGCTTGGTCAGAAATCTTGGCCGTCCTCAAATTTTGTAAGGAAGCTGATGATGATTCTTGCGCTTGTGGTGACCTTCTCCAGCTCCATGACACTCGCGTTATGATAATGGTCAGGTCTGTTACTCTCAGGCAGATGCTGTTGTAGCAGAGAGAGGTTTAACTGTGATGTCATGCTGGCCAGGTGGTGATTCAAGGTTACTTTGTCATCAGCAGCTTCATACATGTACAAAGAGTGATGAAACAACGTTTCTCCATGGCCCCGGTGCAACATATAGTAACATATAGTAACACTTAACATCACAGTAACAGGGCGTGCAAGGTGCAAACAGGCAGTAAATAAATAGTGCAGAAATGTGAACTTCGTATAATTTTGTGTAGTTGCACAAGGCAGTAGGCAAGATTTACCCGACCATAAAAAGCTACAAAGTGCAGTAACAGATTCAAAAAACATTACAATACAGACAATAATAGACAGGGCGATAAATAGACAGCCCACAGTTCCAATTTGTAACAGTGGAGGGATGTGAACTGTAATGGCTGGTATTGCACATGATTATTATATTGCACAGTAAGTTGAAATTTATAGTTGTAAAATTAACATGCTGAAATGGATGCATAATGCGGCAGTAACAGTGGACCGTAAGTAAAGTGCAGTTTCAATTTAGAGGTAGTATTTGTATATGCAGTTTAGAGGTAGTATTTGTATATGCAGTTTAGAGGTATTTAAAGAGAGACAGTGCAGATATTAGTGTGCGGTCAGAATTCAGGCCATTGATCCACAGGCATGGGTGAGGTCCAACCACACTGACCAAGTCTCTCAAACTGCTTGGTCTGCTAAGTAGTTCCACACCACAACTTTGACTTCAAGACCAGAGGCCAATGTTTTAATTTGTACCAAACTGACCTTTATTCCATGTGATGGACGCTTGTTGTGACCAGAGGTAGACATTTCAGCTCTGGGAAGTACAAATGCAGACTAAGATTTTGTTTCAACCAAGCAATTGAGTATAATGAGTCACAGAGTACTCAATTGTTTGTCTGAAACAAAATCTTGGTCTGGATTGTTACTTTCTGGATCTGAAATGTCCACCTCTGGTTGTCACCCACCAAACATCAATAGGTCTGTGAACCTCCTATATTTAAAAAGTGAAGAAGCTGTGCAACAAGTGGGTTTCGGTGACAGATGAGGGTGATAATGCCACACACCCACCCAGTCTTCCATGACTGATCATCTTGGACAGGGTCTCGTGGAGGTGAAAAACTGTCTAACGGAGTAGTATCCAGCTGCGGTCAGCATGACATTGGTAGATGCCCCTGCCACTTTTAAATTGCGTGGCAGCATCTTGGGTACCCAGTGGAAACAATAAATGGTGAAAGAGTGACATCCAAGATACGAACAATTTGTAAGCATTGCAAGAAAATATGCACTGCAGCTAACATGAAAATATTGCCGTACAGTGTGGCTAACACAGCTAACACAGTGCTAGGATATCTAAGGAACCACCATAGCTATCTACTTATGTCAACTGTGCCTGTGAAGAAAAAGGCCAGACAACAGTGACAATACCTTCACACTTCAGCTCTCATAGTCAAGTGCTAGAGCCACAGCCATAGTTCCTGCACATTTATCAGGGCTGAAGAGACGAATGAGAAATCATGCAGAACTGAAGCCAGTCAGTTGAGTTTGTGGCAAAACCTTTTACAGTGCTTGCTGTCTTTTACTGCATATATATATTCATACTCAATAATTAATAAGTAAAATTGAAGTGACATTCATTACAAGATGATTAGTTAAAATATTTCTAAATGCACCTGCATTGTTTTGCATTTTATGACTTTCAGTCAAATAAAGGCTATTTTTCCAGTCGTATTTCATCTTTGAAGTTTGCTTAATTATAAATATTATTACAGTATCGTCTCGTTCTCGTGAATTCAAATATCGTGTATCATCTCGTCTCATGAGCTGAGCGTATCGTCACACCCCTAGCTGCTACTGCAGTGCATAATTCAGCAGGGACACCGTGGTCAGCTAACCATCAAGATGGAACAAAAGCTGAAAGCTACAATCACTCCCAAAATACAGGAGAACAGAGACGCCAGGGGCTGCTCTTATCTTGCCTTTCAGCTCTAGACGTGAGGTTCATGACCCTCGAAACTGTTAGCCTTTTGTCTATTGTTTTTGTGCGTTGTTATGACAACACAATGCTAACATACCCAGTAACCATAGCGACACAAAGAGTAATAGGACCCAAGGATCGGTTGCACACCTACACTTTCAGAGGCGAGGGGGAACTCCAAGGTGACTGCTGCTCCTGTCCCAGGAGTCATGATATGACAGGTCATATTGGGCAAATCAGGTGGGGGACCATCGAGGCTCTGCAGCATGGAGCCCCACTGCACCTCCCCAGTCTCCAGTCAGCCATGACTCCCAACCCCCCACGTGCATTTTAGGTACGAACATGTCAGCACTGCATACAGGACATAGAGCCATTTCTGATGGATATGCATGTGAGTGGGCCAGCCTGAGGGTGGTGTTTGGCTCAGTCGGTTAGGACTGTAAACAGAAGGTTGTTAGTTTGAACCCCAGGGTTGGGAGATTTATGTGACCATTGGGCCCTTGGGTGAGAAGATTAACCCCCCACTTGCTCCAGGGGTGCTAGATACTAGCTGACCCTGCACTGTGACCCCCCCCCCCCCCAAGCTTGCTCTCATCTGTCTGTATGAGGGCAAGAGTAAAATGATTCTATTGTGTGGCTGCCCTGCGAGATGGTTTGTGGTAGATAGCATCAGAATGTTTGATCTACTAGGTTACACAGGGTCACACTCTGCCTGGAGGAAGCAGGGCTGTCCTGTAGGTGAGATTAGATGAACCACATAGCCTGTGTGTGTGCAGTTCTGCTCCTGGACATGGAGAAGTTCTTTCTGTTTGTTTAACTGAGAAAAAACACCCTTCCCTGAGGCAACACAAAACCATTGTCACATCTGTGAGTGTCATGAGTGAGTTCCCCCTAAAGCCCATCTGTGAATGAACAATCAGGACATAGAGTTTAGTCTGGGAGTACAATATGACCTCAAAGACATACGTACTGACCATAAGTTGACTTATTGCCATTATAATATGTACAGAATGCATCCTCTGCATCTACACTTATAGCACTTTGTCTGTGATTTTCATTTATCTGTGAGTCATATAGTCACACCCCCTGCCACTAAGGTTTTCTCTCATCATGGAGAGCAGATGGCTCAAATCTGTGTCAGGATTCAATTAACAATTTAGCTTTTGGTAATTACTTTTTTTTTTTTTTAAATGCATCTCGCTAGACCTTTAATTTAAACTTCTGACATAATTTCTATGTCATAATAAGAGCTTCTCACTTTCTGACGCAGGATTGGATTGCCCCACATTTGGCGGCCGGGGGCGGGACATGCCACAATAACTTTTGCCAAACATTTTTCAGTATGGGATGGGGGAACCCCCCCCACCCACGGTGTATTTTTATGGCCCACATACCCATCGGCCCACCAGGAAAATGTCCAGTATGCCAAATGGCAGAATACGCACGTTCACATATACTATATAGAAACACTCAAGCATTAAGCGTGGGCTGCCCATATTGTCAGCCAGAGCTGTCGGGTTCTAACCACAAGGGGGCGGCAGTTCCCTCTGAAGGAGTGTGAAGCCGGCGCTCATTTGAAAACAACAGCCTCTGCAATGCAGGTCAGTGGGTGAGAAACCAAGTATGTACAACAATCACTCCTGGATTCTTGGGTTTCACTTACTCTTCTCTCTGTTGACATTTGAGACGTGGAATGTGGCATGAAATACGTACCGAACTATATAATATCAAACCACAGACAACAAATGGTTAAAGTGGCCATCAATATAATACTTCATTTTTGCTTCCCTCAGCCTGTTCTGCAATTGGCTGTACAATCACCTATGTAGAATTTGATTAGCAGAAGCAGCCAGCACTGAATGCCTGTAATTATCCTGAAACTGCTGCAATACCCATTTCAGATGTATGAAAGCATCCACCATTGAACTGGGACAGGCTGCACATTCCGGCTGCTCCTCGCACTAGGTTGTGTGGATACTCTTAATGCTGCTGGCCTTTCAGACCCCTCCCAAAAGTCTCCAGGTTAATTCATCTTACTCCCAAACACACCTCCAATATGTAGCCACCGGGGAAGCACACCGACTTTTTAAAAGTACTTTTCATGCATAAGTAGGCCCTATCTCCTTCCATTGATCTTTTTCTACATTCTGTTGACCAGCTCACAGATCACCAGTGCAGCTTATTTACTTATTATTGCCACACAACCTGACGTCAGTAATGTCTTATAGTTCACTATGGTGAAGAAGATGTCACGGTACGAGTTATATTATGACAAGATCAAAGTACCCCATCACATGGACAGCACAGGCTGAAGCACGGTTTTCAAGGTGACTTCCCCATGATGGAAGCAGCTGTGAGCAGAGAGCTGATATTCATCCCATAGATGCTGAGCTCGACATGCTGCAAAGGCAACACTGCCTTGATAAATTAGTAAGTAGCACAACCACATAATCCCCGTGACCCTGAGCAGGATAAGGCGTTAGGAGATTGATGGACAACTGCATAATAAACGCCAAATGGCATTGTTCGAATCCGCCCTTTGAATGATCTTTCATATGCTTGTTTTTGACAGCTGCCTCGGAAAAATGAATGCGAATGAATAAATAATCAGTGAGGTCTACACAATGCGTGTTGGTGAATGTGTTTCCACGCATCTTTATACGATGTCACCAGGAGGTATGGCTTAATAATAATAATAATAATAAATAATAATAATAATAATAATAATAATAGTAGTAGTAGTAGTAGTAGTAGTAATGCAAACACAAACATTATTATTATTGTTGTTATTATTATAATGTGACCACAAGCATATTACTACTATTATTATTATTATTATTATTATTATTATTATTATAATATGAGGTGATGCTTTATTGATTCCCAAGTAGAAATTAGGGGTTAATCGTTTTAAATAATTTATTCCTGAAAAGTGGTCGCCTGTGCTGGACTTTGAATATGATACGCATAGAATTAACGTCAGACGAATAGAAAGCAAAATGCCGGGCAGCCGCGCCGCACGCCTGCTCCCGCGTCGCTTCGGCACTTTCCGTCGAATCCGAGCTCCAAGCTGGAGATCAGCGGGCCGGACCCGCCCCACCGCCCAGTTGGGGCTCCTCCAATAAGAGCGGGGACTGAGGAGCGTCCGGACATGGCCGAAAGCAGCGGGGAGAGGGGAGCCGAGCAGTACCGGGACTCGGTCCGTAACTAGCAGCTCCGGCGATTTTGATTAGTGCGATTAATAAAAGATAAGCTGCCGGGGAAAGGAGACGCCGCGGCGAGGAGAGGGAGTCAACCGGGTGCTTGGACGCGTACCTGGCGGGGCACCTCGGACAGGTAAGCCGGGATCGTCTCCGGTATTTCACTTTTTTTTTTTTAGAATGAGCAATATGGCTGTTTTGGTCACTAGGTTGTGCCGTATCGCGCGTCGGTGAAATCCGTCCGGTAGGCGAGTGCGGCACGTCCTCCAGCGCCGGCGGAGCCCCAGGATGCGGCGAGGCGGACGCGCTCCGGCTGCCTCGATAATTGATGATCCGCAGTGGGGCGGGAGAGTCGCCGCCGCACACTGGCTGCTCCGCCGGGCCGAAGCTGTTTCTGCGGGTGGCGCACTGTCCGCTGTCCGGCAGCGTTATGGAACTGGGGGGTTAAGCGGCCGGGCCTCTGTAACTGCGGCTTGCGGGAGGCGGTATCACGCATCGCGCAGTGACCTGCATTGGCTCCGGCAGCGGCCTCTCCGGTCCTCCGTAATGAAAGCTCCATTTTCTCTTTCGCAGCGGCGGATTACCCCCCCCTATCACCTTCTCAGGCTGCGTTGAATGCGGCTCAGCCGGACGGGGACTAGATTACGGGGAAAAGCACCATAACGCCGGCGGGGGACAGCGGCTGCTCGGCCGTGAAGAGGACGTGGTGTCCGTGCGGAGGAGCCCGGCCGGACGCACGCGGACAGTCCGACGCCGTTCTTTCCGTGGGGATACCGGCCTTTTTGGAACCGCATTCAGCGCGTCTTCGCCAAAAGGAGCCCGGAAGGCGGCAGTTATTCCGAATCTCTAGCCGCCGCCGAGCGGACATGTAAACTCCCGGGGTGGCATCTACATCGCCTGCATGGATCACGCCGAACCGGACCCGGAGGCGGCAGAGCCGCCGGTCCATGGCGTCCACGGACCGAACCGGATCCGGCCGTCGTCGTACCGGGCGCTGCGAAGCGCCGTGTCCAGTCTGGCCCGGATAGACGACTTCTTCTGTGAGAAGATCGGTTCGGGCTTTTTTTCTGAGGTTTTCAAGGTGAGACCCACCTGCATGGCCACATGCATATAATATAGTATAATATAATATATATGTATGTGTGTATAACATATGTATGACACACACGTCTTGGTATAAATATGTAATTTTCTATTACCTTTTTTCCTTTTTAATGCTAAATCCAGTCATTAAAAACTTAATTAACTTCATTATTAAAAAGCATTGAATTTGTTTAGCAGTCTTATACATTTATATACGTTTATTTCTTGCATTTAGACAGGTCATAGTAATAACTTGCTCTGTAGCTTGTTATAAACGTTAATATTGTTGCGTAATTATTACTCCTGTATGTCCTCTGAACCAAAGACTTGCAGCAGTACTTATGTAATAAGACGGTGCCAAAGCCCTAAGCACGTGCCATTGCGAACCTTTCTGTAATTGGTCCAAAAGGACTTTCTGTGAGTATGTATGTGCAATGACCGGTCATTTAGTGCTTGACTGCGCCCCCCTCAGGATACCCTTAAATGGGGCAGAAAGAAAAGGGGCATCTGATCACAGCAGGGCTTGAACCTGCATTTCTGAGTGGTTATTACAGAACTTCAAAGTCCTGCCTTCAGCTGGTGATTAATGTACACTATTCTGGACTCTGTCCAGCCAGCCGTTGAGATAAATCTCGAAGATCCCTTATCCACCTTTTTAACTGAAGTCAGACATGCTGGGCAAGACTGTCTGGCTATGTACCAGATCGCCTGTGTTCTTAGGGTCAGGAAATTAGGGGTAAGATATTCTTGTGTAAATAAAAATGAGAAATGGAGGGAAAAAAAATTAAGACTGGAACTTTGCATTCAGGTCTCCATATTCCCCTAAGTATAGTCAAGGTAAGTTTGAACCCGGTTTGTAAATGCACGAGGTTCAGGGTGCAGGGGAGTATGCACTGTCTAGTTGGAAATGCACTGGCTTCCTGCATGTACCAAACGTGCAGCGATCATCAATAATGTGCCTGCATGCATCTGATCCCTCGATGGTTTATGGACTATGGAGGTCTTGCACGCTGCGGGGTGTGGCGTTCGTGACAGTGATGCGTTAATGCTTTTTTTCTTTCAGCTGTCATGCTGTGCACTCGTAGGTATTCACGCTAAGCTGTCCTCTGTAATATGCTACAAACACTTAGCGAAGTGCACTTGTCGGGACAGATTCCCCCGTCTCTATAAATTACCCGATGTTCGTCGATCTGTGCAGGCTTTAATGTCTGTCTGTCTCTTCACTGTTGTAATCTGAGCGTCTGAAGTGCGATGGAGCAAAGCCCTCTTTGTGCCGCGTTTTTGGGGGGAAATGCTCAGTGTGATCGCCCGGGCTAATGAGGATTACCCTCATTAGGGGCTGCTGCTGTTCCTGCAGACTCCTTTGTAAGGGGCTGGCATTGTGTTTGTGCAGCTCTGATCGGGTCACGGTTTAGGTTTAGTTCTTAGCCTGTAAAGGGATTAATGATGAAAACGCATGATTGGAGGTGCCTCAGAATGCAGGGGGACCTTTTGTCCACTTTCAGGTGCTGTTTAAATGTTGATTCATAAGTGGGTAAAATGTAGGCTTTTAAAACTGGGCCAAGGAGGCATTTTAGTCTGTGGGGGGGGGGGGTGTTGAGATAAGGTGATCCAGCCTGGCTTGTGGACGCGATGTGAAATGGCCCCATCAAACGTGCTGGTAGAGACATTGAAGACTGACTGGTGTCTCTGAAGGAAATGTACTCCAGGCTGTATTTTAAGGGAACCCCAGCCCTGCTAAGAGGACTTTGACCTGCAGATTTCAGCTGCACGAGACTTTAGTTTGAGTAACAAATCGCTGACGGCCTCCTTTTCACAGCGACACTCGGTCTTCCCCTGGGTTTCCCAGGGAAAGCCTCTGACTGTGCCCCTCTGGGTCTTTGATTGGGTGGAATCTACGGAAGAGTCCTGGTAGCGTCAGTCTGTGACCTAATCTGTGGTTTACCAGGTGAGAGTGTCAAACAGCGTGAATACCGCTCACCACCCCGGCTTCCTGCTGAGGAAGGATCATAGGTCCGTCAAAGGAGATGTACCACTGGTGTGAAGTGAAACAGTCTCTCGAGGTCTGGGAAAAGCCCTGTGGTGGCTGGGCTCGCTGACATCACCGCACGCTGTCAGAGGGGCTTTCTGGGTGCTTATTGGTCATGGTGATTAAGGCTCTCGCTAGTGCCCCCATGCATCCCCGCCAAACGATGTGGCTCCGTTGTTGCATGTCGCTCTAGAAGGAGCAGATAACGGCGGCGCAGAGGCAGTTTTCACTAGAGGACTGTAAGTCTCTGATGCTCTCGAACCTGCTGTCGACGTGTGTGGCAGGGCAGCCGCGTCCACAGTGCGCTGCACTTCTGATGCTCCCCTTAGAGCTGCCCAGTCCTCAGGCTCCTCCGGCAGTAAGCAAAGCCTGGTAATTAGGTGACTGATGGTGTCAGGTTTGCAGGTTGAGGAAGTGCATTAAAATTTGGCCTGGCGTGGGGGTTGGGGGGGGGGGTGACATTTATTATGCACCACACTGGAATCCCGATGCAGGCAAGTGTGACCGTGACTGTCGTGCAGTCCTCATTGGTTCAGAGTCGCTCCGTGTCCGGCAGCGAATGGACCGTGGGTGAATGTGAGTCATAAACTGTAAAGTGCTTTGAGTACTCGTAAGAGTAAATGCGGTCCATTTACCATTACCAACTCCTCACTCCTGGGGGTCCTGACTCCCCGTCTCTGTCCTTTTCCATCAATGCTGTGAACCTCCACCGTCCTGCCCCAGAGAGATGTTGGCCAGCCCCTCCCCCAATAGGCGGGTGTGATGGTTTGCTGTAGGCTGTCCTGTAACCTCGGGGTGTGGTGCAGGTGCTCTGCATCCAACACCCTGCCCCTGTTTGCCCGTGATTATGGTCCCCGCTGATAAACGCTGGCTGTTCTGTCGTAATGCCTGCAGAGGGCGAATCTGAGGCCATGTCTCTGTATGGTAGCTGTGCTGGGCCTGTGCTGTGGTACCTGTGCTGGGCCTGTGCTGTGGTACCTGTGCTGGGCCTGTGCTGTGGTACCTGTGCTGGGCCTGTTCTGTGGTACCTGTGCTGGGCCTGTGCTGTAGGCCCTTCTTGGGCCTGCATGCCTGCAGCCTGCTCCTGGCCAGTTTCTGGCCTCCACTCTGCTTTCTTTTTGTGTTTACACATGGTGTGTGACTTCCTGTGCTGAGATGTTGGAGTGTGTTTGGGGTATGGGGGCTGGTTTATCTGCCCGGCAGTAAGATTTCCTCCGCTGCTCAGTTCATAGGAGCAGTCATGACGAGCGTGACTTCCTGTCTGCCTGAATGCCTTGGAGCTCTGCCATTGGTCTTTCCTGTTGTCAGTCATCAGTTGCCGTGCAACGGTTGGCCACGCCCCCGCTCTTAAAATTATTATTCTGATCCAACACGGGCAGCTTTTCCTAGCACCGTGGTCCTTGGCAGCCTGGGGAAAGCCAGAGACACTGAGGGCCGCCAGGCCGACTGTTTACGGCTGCGAGGGGCTCAGGCTGTGGTGGGTGGGGGGGGTGCAGTGAGGCTGTATGTGGAGTTGTGGTGAGCTGGAGCCCGACCTTGTAGATTGAAGCCTGTTTGAGTTTCGGAGATGAACTCCATGTGGAATTTGAGGCAGATACGCCGGCTTGATTGGCTTCCTGCTTTGAGGGCCTTGTTTGTATCAGGCCTTGACTGGCTGTGCGAGTAACACTCAATAATTCATGGACATGCCAAGCGAGCGTCAGCCTTGGAAGTCGGATCCCTTTCCTGGCTGCGTGAGCTCCTGACTTGGGGGAACTGAGTGTGGCCATAGGTGCTGGGTCTCGCTTGGATGGGGGTGACCGTAGGACATGGAGCTGGACCTTCTGGAGATCAGAACCAGAATGTCCCTTCTGCCAGTGCTCAGTGTTGTGCATCCCTTGTAGCAGGAGATGGCGGCGGAAAGCCGGGCCACGTCCTACGCCGCCGTAGCGCCTGCCTTCACCGCATCCTCATCACCTCGACAAGCGGCAGCGGTCTGCTGGGTAGAGCGTATTGACCCAGGGAACCTTCCGGAAGATCAGCAGACATCAGTGTGAGCTGACCATGGGTGTGTGGGGGGGAAATCGGCTGCTTTGGGAATGAGACAGAATCATGTCGGTGATGATTAACCCTGAGCCAACAGCACTGACACTGGGCTGTCGATCTGCTGGCAGTGTTGTTAAAGCGCTGGAATGCCTGTGTGTGTGGGCGTTACTCCCTGCATCCATCACCTCCCTGCATCCATCACCTCCCTGCTCGTAGGAGTGATGCCCCGCAGATACGGGAGGTACCCAGTAGGCGGACGGGTCCCAGGCTGTAGTGGCCCAAGGTCGTCCTGGCCGCTCGCTGCCTCTGCCGTGCCGCGGCCTGAGTTCTCGCACAAGCTCTTTCCCGGGGGGGGGGGGGTGCCTGCAATTCCCTCCTGCCCAGGATAAGGAGAAGCTTACAGGTTCAGGCACATGTATCTGTGTTCTTGGTCTTTCCCAGGACGTCCCGACATGAATCTTGTTGAGTAATGAGTCACAGAGAATATCAAACCAAGGCTTGAGACGTTCAGTTTAATCAAAACGGATGAAATGGATGGAGTTTTTGTTCATGCAGGTACCTGGGGACAACTTGGATTTAATTTATTTATTATTTACCTATGTTTAGGATTTTTTTCATTTCTCCTACTTTGTCCTATTGGATGTTAGAAAACTACAGCAGCAGCGTGTTTTCTGTGCATGGCGGCCGCGGAAGTGATATCCTGCTGATTAACTCCGCATTTAGCCGCAAAGCCGTCGCCGTGCCAACCGCCCCTGTGCAGTCCTCCGACGTAAATCCTTTGCAGGAAAGGTGACATTTATGTGTGTATTAATCGGGATGGTGTCGCCCTGGATGTCCGCTTCCTACTTTCTTAAATGTGGAGAGGGAGAGAGAGAAAGAGAGAGAGAGCGCAGCTGGACAAAACCCAGAGGTAGTGCCTCTCCGAGCCGGGGCCTGTTAAGACACGCCTGCTGTGTTTACACGACTCCCCTGTTTGCTCTGACTGCCCTGTTTGCTGTTAGCAGGTCTCGCGTGCGTCTGCCTTGATGCCGCCTGCAGTCTTCTGCAGTGTGGTTTGACCTGTGTCTGCTTTGGTCCTGAGCTTGGGGGAAGGTATTGTGTGCCGTGTATTACTGTATGGTTCGTATATGAGTGTAAGTTTGCACGAACTGTGGTCAGGCTGAGAAAGAAGCAGCTTCTTGGTTTCTTGGATAAAATTGGTCCCGACCATGGTGATGTGTGATTTGCGGGTGGGTGAGGGGGGGGGTGAGATGTGCAGAGATGGGGGTGAGTCAGGTGCACGTCTACTAGCCCTGTGGATTAATATGGGGGAGGAGATGACACCAGGGCATGCTGAACGCGGCCTGCTGTCCCACAGGGACGCTGTTTGTTTTGATTCCGGCCCAGCAGCGTGGGGCTGTAGCGGTGTGTCCTGGATATGCTCAAATGCAGTGTCACTCCCCGGCCAGTGATGTCAGTTGGCCTGGATTTTGCCCCAGTGGATGATGGGAAATCAGAAAGCCCGTTAGTAAGCAAGGCCAAAGTAGCTCTTAACCCTGCTGCAGGGAGACGGACCTGCTAGGTACTGGGTAGACTAGTCCCACACTCGGACCACACGTCAAGCAGCGACCTTCCCATGCATGATCTATGCACAAACTCGCAGTGTGATAAACAGTCGTGTAACTCGCGCTCTTATTTTAGGCTGCTGTTCACAGTCCCTGCCTGCAGACACCATCTGCATTTGGGCCCCGTGTGTGTAAAGTGGTAAACAACAGCTCTCGGGAGGCGGAGGCGTTGTTGCTGCTCATGACGGGGGGGTGGCGTCTTACTACTGCGTGTCATGATCTGTACCGGGCAGGGCCTGGGGTCGGGCAGAGGCAGGGCCTGGGGTCGGGCAGAGGCAGGGCCTGGGGTCGGGCAGAGGCAGGGCCTGGGGTCGGGCAGAGGCAGGGCCTGGGGTGTGACTCGTTGGTCTTCTTGTCTGTGTTAGTGTTTAAGCGAGAGACATATAACTGACAGCCATGCATTAGTGGGGTGTTAAGGGGCTTTTGCTGGTGGGGAAGCCCAGGTTAGGGCTTTTCAGAGGAACGTTCTGGAAATGATGTAGATCTGCCCTCGGCGAAGGTACTCTGCAGTTTCCGTAGCCTTCACACCAGCTTTAAAACGTGCGAATGAAAAGGAGGATTAATGAGCCTGGGACGTTCCTCCCCCTGAGGGGCTTTCAGGGGAACTGCCTGTGTATTTACCCACCACTCGCCCTCCCCACCCTGCTTCCCTCCCCAGGTGCAGCACCGCATCACAGGGCAGGTCATGGCGCTGAAGATGAACACGCTGGCCAGTAACCGAGCCAACATGCTGCGCGAGGTGCAGCTCATGAACCGGCTGTCACACCCCAACATACTCCGGTCAGCTCCGCCACCCCCCCACCCCCCACCACCAGTCATGTGACCCCTGTCAACATGCCCCCCATTAGGGGGAACTAGCTGACTCAGGGGCACGTGCTAGCAAGTAGAAGCACATCCTTCCTTAATTTTGCGTAAAAATAGCCACAGAAGATGCAAACGGATGAAATTCCTCTTTCTAAATCTCACTTTATATCAGAAAACTCATCCAGCGAGCATGCATGTCTTTCAGCTGTTCTGGTAGCGCTGCTCTCTCTGCATGCGCTCTGTTAGCAGAGAGGTCCTGACCCTGGCATCGTGCATGGAGGCCCTCTGTGCTAAACTGTGCTAAACTGTGCTAAACTGTGCTAAACTGTGCTAAACTGTGCTAAATGACATCACAACGCGACGCAGGGTATTTTATTTAGAATTTTTTTAAATGACTAATATATTGTAGAGCTGGACGATGTGTGATATTAATACCAACATCACATGTTATACACATTCAGTTCTTACCTCACGAGTCAGATTAAGATCAGGCTTTTTCTAACTTTCAATTCTGTACAGACATTATAGCACAGGGAGTTTACATTTGACTAAGACATTTTTACTTGGCTAGCTTTGAAATGTTAATTATTCCTTTTATAGATTATGTAATATATTTAAAAATCAGTTTAAAGTTTACCTTTGCTGCTTTTGCATGAGCACTGCATGTGTTCTCTGAAACAATCAATTTCATCTTTGCTATTGAAATCACTCCTAGACAAATTTGTGAAATTTATTAACTCCGTTTTGTGTTGTAAATAAATATTGGGGTATTTATAACAGTTATATTGCTGTACCGTCCTGTCCATGTAAATTAAACAAAATGCCTTTTAAAAATTTCTTGTCATGCCATCCTGATCTCTTTATTGTATCTGTTCTTCTGACCAAATCACTATGTGTGTGTGTGTGTGTGTGTGTGTGTGTGTGTGTGTGTGTGTGTGTGTGTGTATTTTTAACTTCATTTATCGTTGTCTTCTGGCTAACTTTTTTCAAGACGGTGGTTGTATTGTATTTAGAGACGAGCTATTTGCATAACCAATCAGCAAAGAAAGTATTTCAATTCCCACCCCAAAGTACTGAAGTACCAAAGAAGTACCCCAGCTAGTTTGGCACTTTTTGGTACTGGTACTCGGCTGGAAGTCAATGGAAAAGGGAAAGTACCAAAAGTCCGGTGCAGTGGAAAAAGTACCCTAAGTGACCGGCACCCATTGCAGGGGTACATACAGTCTAGGGTGCCAGTCCGTCACCGGGCAGACTCACTACAGGCAGTCTAGAGATGCCACTACACTGCAAGGCTGTAACATGGGGCTGAACATGCTAATCCCTTGCAGATGGACTGCAGCTGGGCTTCCCCTGCCCTGTATAATGGTCTTTCTGGGTCATTTTGTTTTTCTGTACAGGTTTGTCGGGGTCTGCGTTCACGAGGGCCAGCTCCACGCCCTGACGGAGGTAAACTTGCTTTTTTGTACGGCATTCTGGGGATGTGGTCTGTTCTGGGTTATTCTCAGAACTGCCCTCTGTGATTAGGAAACGGGAGATTGGCTGTGTTCCCGATGGTCCCAGTCTGGGGTCAGCCTGCTTACGTGGGCTTTAACTGGTGTGCATCTCGGACCTGTGCGTGGCTCATTTAGAATCCCTGTAGTGCGTGAGATCTGATCCTTGGCTAATGTTTCTCTGCTTTCCCCTCCCAGTACATCAATGGGGGTAACCTGGAGCAGCTGCTGGACAGTGAAGAGTACCTGTCCTGGGCTGTGAGGATGGACCTGTCCTTGGATATTGCGCGAGGGCTGCAGTACCTGCACAGCAAGGGCATCTTCCACAGGGACCTCACTTCCAAGGTCTGGAGACCTCCCATCTTCTCTGTGTCAAGCCTCCTTTAAACGTGTTTGGCATAACATCTCGAATCATGTTAAGCTAATTAAATCTTTTATGAAAGTAGTTTTTGCTTATAGAAGTCTGCTGGCTGTACACAATAGGTAGCTAGTTCTCCTGTCCACATGGTCATCTTATGCTGAATCTGAGGTTACTGTTTTGAGTTCAGCAGTTGTCTACTGAATCTCAGTGGAGTCATGTGACCTGTGACACCACTGACGTGGCCAGGGGCTCAGGGTTAAAGTCTGCGTTCTTGGTATTGAGAAACACCCAAAAGTTTCTCAAAGATCATACTTGTGGTCTTGACGAGACGAGTCTTGCTAACTTGCCTTCCAAGAATGAATTTGGGGTGCAATGAATCATGAGATTGGTCTTGTTTGGCAAGGATGCAACCGATATATCCTTCATATCTGGGGCAGCACAAGAACGACATTTGGGGATTTTTTTCTGTCCCCTGTACTTCTGTTCTTAGTACTGCGATAGTACTAAGATGATGTGTTGTCATGTACCCATTTTACAACTACGGTCAGCGACATACATTGGGAAACACCCTTTGACCTTGCATGCTCACATGCATGGAGTCCTGGTCCGTTTGTTCTGTGCGCTTTAACAAGCCGCGTTCCCACGCTGTATGTGACACCCGTCTCCTCTTCCTCATCAAATGCAGAACTGTCTGGTGAGACGCGAGAATGGGCTCTACAGCGTAGTCGTCGGCGACTTCGGCCTGGCAGAGAAAATCCCCGAATACAGGTGAGCGAAGATGTCTAAGAGCCAACCCCCCCCCCCCATCTTAAGGGCATTACCTGTGACTGCTGTGCCCCTCCCTGCCCACTTCCTCTTGGCAGAACCCCTCAGGGTCAATGAGAGGTAGAGAGTCTATGGAGTACAGTCGGAGGTTTCAGCCCTGAGGCGTTGTAGAGACTGTGAGGCACACAGCTCCATCGAGTGAGGCTGGGATCCCTGATTTATTTCTAGAATTTTCTGTTGCATGTTGGGGACTGACGTGTCACAGGATTTCGGGCCTAGATGTTGCTAACTAACTGATGCCTTTCCGAGTCACATTAATCAGACGTGATGCTGCCTGTATCCCTTCCGCTAGGGAATTCTGCTGCGTGTCTGAGGGTCCCAGCCCATGTCTGCCTGGGTGGTCGCACAGGGTGTGTGTGTGTGTGTGTGTGTGTGTGTGTGTGTGTGTGTGTGTGTGTGTGTGTGTGTGAGGAACACAAACACCTGTGTGTTTGCATGCCTTTATGTAAATATGTAAAGTGGACACACACACACACACACACACACACACACACACACACCCTGTAAGCGTAGGCAGGTGGCCATTCGGGTGTGTATGTGTGCTGCTGTGTACCTCTACACACGTGTGTATTGTGGGTGCTGCCCTGAGCAGCGCGCTCAGTCGCGGGGGGGCTGGGTGTTGTTTTGGAGACCTCTCCAAATATGGAGAAGCTCTTCCAGAGGTGCTGCCTGTACTGTCCTCTCGCTTCCTCATATGGTGTTTATGGGTCCTCGTGCTCACCCTGCTGCCCCTCTGCGTTTGGGCGACGCGGCATCGGCGGGGTGCGGAGCCTCCCATTCGTCCAATCGCTATTCCCGTATATGAGGGGAAAAAGACGTGCGTTCAGGTGGCCACCCTCGTGCCTGCATGGAGCGTCACTGAGCCGCCCTGTATCTCTGTCCCCCTTCCCAGCGACGGCATGGAGAAGCAGCCCCTGGCCGTGGTGGGCTCCCCCTACTGGATGGCCCCCGAAGTGCTGCGAGGGGAACTCTACGATGAGAAGGTGAAGGGGGGGGGGGGGGGTGCTGGCGGGGCGGTGGCCGGCGCAGGGAGGTGTGGGTTTTGTTCAGTGTTTATGAGCAAAATACGTATGTACAGCAACACACAGCCCCCCTCCAATGGCACACCTGGAGCGTGGTCTCCGTTTAGGCGTCCTTGCTCGTGCCTGTGTGGAGCCTCACTGAGCCGTCCTGTATCTCTAACTTACGGTCACTGTTTGCTCTTTGTTCTTGTTGATCTAGTTCTTTTTGACCCTGTGAAGTTGGCGACAGCCCCTGTTGTCATGGATCCTTATCATGTGACCTTGTCAAACAATCCCCCCCCTCCACTCGGTTGCAGGTGGACGTCTTTGCATTCGGCATCATCCTGTGTGAGATCATCGCCCGGATACAGGCCGACCCAGACTACCTGCCCCGCACCGTGGTATGTCTGCGTCCTGTGGGGGGCGCTGGAGACGTCACGCGGCATGCGTGCCGGCACGGACCTCCCTGCTGCGGAATGTGCCAGAAGAGTTCGCGCATACTTATCTCATATGGGTTTGGTGCCCATATCATCTCGGTCGGGCGTGTTGGAGACCACTGGGCTGATTACTTTCCCAATGAGCCGTGACTTTGCTCACCCGTCACCCGTGTGTTTATTTAACCAGCAATGACTATTTGCCGAAACAGATTGACTGACTAATTCTACAGTCTGCCTAGGGTCCGTTCTTAGTGTTGCGCTTCCTCCTGGTCCTCCATCCTTCTGTTTTAGCCAGTGCAGACCACATGTGTCATCATGGAAATGAGTATTCCCAGTGTGACCTTCTGCGGCTTGATCCCCATGGCCGCTCCTCGGATTACCGACATTCCCATGGGTGCCGATTTATCACGAATCTCTGTTTGCTCTCTTGAAATTAGGCTGGTGCTTCTTCTGAGAGCTCTAACCTCACTCATGTCAAAACTTTGCTTTTTGGAACGGTTCCCAATTTAATTTGGCAAAAACCCCCAACCAGTGTAGCCATTCGCAGTAAACATCAGTGCTCTGTCCCCCCCCCAGTTTTAACTTGCAGGATCTTTACTGAGGCGGTTAACACATCTGGCCCTGTGAGGCCGCTCTGCAGCCCAGCCGCTCGCTCCGTCTATAGTGACACGGCTCCTGGAGTAACAGTATAAGTGTGTGTGTGTGTGGGAGGGAGGGAGTCTCATGGCCTTTTTGTGGGTGAATTTAGAGTCACCCCATGGAGGATGTTGAACATCCGTATGAGTTACTGAGTAGTGTGTGCGTTTGTGTACACAGCATATCAGCAAGTCGACCTTTGCACGCCGCACATGCACGTCACCAAAGTGGCAATACGTCAGTCCTCTCCACAAAGACGTGGTTGACAACTGCTTGCTGATTCGGGGGGTTGGGGGCCAGGGACCGCGTGGAAATGAAACCGAACAATGGTTTATGAACCGGTGTTGAAAGGCTGAAACCAGCTCCGTGTGTGTGTGTGTGTGTGTGTGTGTGTGTGTGTGTGTGTGAGACTAGCTCCTTCTGCCTCTTGACGTCACCTGCCGCCCCCCCCCACTCATCTGCCTCCAGTGTCCAGCGTCAGCGAGCATTTTTATTGCCGCAGTACAATGTGAGCATGCCTGGTCTGAGCTCTCTGCACAGGGTGTGCGCCCTCTGCTGGTGAATCACAGGCATTACTTTGTCTGCACTAACTGGGTCTCCTGCAGAATCTTCATGCAGTTCCTACTGCAGCTGCCTGCGTCTTAGGAAATGCATGCCATGTCATTTTTACCCCTCGCAGCTATGCGTGGCGGATCGTACCTTTGTGTTGGTAACAGGAGGCTTATACTTTGGAAAGGGCTTAAACGGTGTTTATCTGTTATGGATGTTTGGGGTGGTTTCTTTGTCTTGATTGTAACCCCTTTGCGCCTGTCACCTGTTCTGGGTTCAGAGTGTCCTGAGTTTGTGTGCCTCTGCCGCAGGACTTTGGGCTGGATGGGGAGGCCTTCCGGAACATGGTGGGGGACTGTCCCCCCTCCTTCCTGGACCTGGCCTTCTCCTGCTGCAACGTAAGACGCATTCAGACGTCCGCAGAGATGCTCGTATGTGTTGATGCCTCCCCAGCCCCCCTGACACGCTCTTGCTTCTCTCTCCCCCCCCCCCCCCCCCAGATGTGTGCTGCCCAGCGGCCCCCCTTCATCAAGCTGGTGGTTCAGCTGGAGATCCTGCTTGTGGAGAAGGAGGAGCCTGTGACTCAGGGTCAGTGCGCTGATTCAGTGGGATTTATTTTTATATAGCGCCTTTCACAACAGTCACCCCAAGGCATCACTGCCAGACATGAGTGTGTGGCAACGCCTTGCTGCATCGTCTAACCAAAACGGTGCATGAAACGGGGAAGAGGGAAAGAAGAAACATAAGAAAATGGGGGCAGAACCAAAAACTCCCAAGTAGGGAGATGGAAACCTCTGGGGGTCCAAGGTTGACATTATAGAATACATCAGTAGCCTGGGTGGTGCCTAGAAACCCCCCCGCATGACCTCTGTCCCCTCATACTTTGTGTTTTTGGGTATGGATCGGGGGACTTGCTGTGTGTTTTTTTTTTTCTTCCCCTGACTTGCTGTTTGTGTTTCTCTCTCAGCCCTTGCCAGCTGCCCCCGGCGACGGCGGTCCTTCTGTGCCCCGGGCGATCAGGGGCTGTCCCGCAGCCAGTCGGAAATGCTGTCCCCTGCCACGCCGCCCACCTTGGGCACGCCCGCTCGGGTCAACCCTTTCTCCCTGCGCCAGGACCTGAACGGGGGCAAGATCAAGCTTTTCGACACACCCAGCAAATCTGTCATCTCCCTGACCTTCACCCTGCCGCCGCCTCCAGAGCCCTGCGGCAGCCCCACCGAGGCGGAGCCCCCGCGGGGTTTACACCGGCGGTGCCAGTCGCTGCCCTGCACTCCCGACCTGAGGGGCGCCCCGATGCTGGCTGCCAACCTCAGTCACGATGCTCGGCCAGAGGGCATGGCGATGCTGCAGGACACGGACAGTGAGGAGGAGGAAGATGAGGCTCAGGAGAGGAAGGGCGAGACTGGCAAGGGTTTGGATCGTACTGTGGATGACTCGGGCCTCCCCCTGGACCTAGACATGTCCTCCTTGGACCGGCTGGAGGAGGAGGGGGAATTGGAGAACTTGTGTCTTGTGGAGCCGATGGACTGTACCAGCTCCCCCGACGGCCCAGTCCCCATCGCGGGGAAGCCCTCGCTCACCAACACCCCGGTGATGAATGGCTGGGACCCGCCCATCTCCAACAGCCCTTCGTCACTGTCTCCCCTTCCCCACCTGGAGAACAACAACAGCACCGTGGTGATGAGCCGACCCCTGGGCTATGGCGGCAACGGGTACCACAGTCCGCCCGGGGGCGCGGCGCCCTTCCCGCTGCCCAGCTCTGGGGGAAGCGGCCTGGAGCAGGACGAGGTCATTTCCTGTCCTGGCTGCTGCCTGGCAGGGCTGAGCTTCTCCTCAGTGTGTCTGCGCACTCCCCCACGAGCCCGGAACCCCCACCATCCCTACAAGAACTTGAACGGCGACGCAGCGCGGGGGCTGCTCGGCCACAGCGCCAAAAGCCTGGCCTCCTCCACAGGGTCTTCGGAGCCGGGGTTGGCCCTCCCGGGTGCTCAGACTTAGATCGCCCCCTACTGGATGGCCTGTGGAAGTAGCTTTCACACCACCTGTTAAAAAAAAAAAAAAAAAAAAAAAAAATGTGCACCTTTTTATTGTAATGGCTCGTTTGTCATGATGCAGATTATTGCTACTGTTGTCATTACTGATATTGGCATTAGAATGATTTTTGGTGTCCAAATCAGAGGAAGATGCCCCCTCTAGGCTTTGTGATGAACTGGAGAAGGGGAGCATGTTGGAAGGAGTGGCACGTGTGCGTGTGCGTGTGCGAGTGAGTGTGTGTACCAGGTGTAATATATTTTGAAATACCGTTTTATGTAATCACAGGGAATGGTTGCTTGTGTTTCCTGGGTCTGGACCGGGGGTCTGGGAGGGGGATTTGCAGGGCAAACAGGGAGGATGTTAAGATTTTGAGCATGTTGTCTTTATTGCATGATTTCCCCCGCCCCGACCTGCCTCCTGATCTGAGATCAGTATGGTCAGTGTTAGTGGTCTGAACTGAATCGGACAGACAAAACCTGCCCCCCCCGGGGGGTGGCGCTGTCTATAATGCAACTGGAATAGCGCAAAACTCGGGATGTAATGACTGGTATTTATCTGATAATTAAAAGATGTTATTTTTAATTTAGTGAAATAAAAGTGGTATAACAAGTCTTACCATGTACCCTTCTGAGTGTTCTGCAGTGTAATCTTTATTAATGTTGGATTTTTTTTTTTTCCCCCGACTTTAAACTGGTGCTTCTTCTCTCCAGTTTTTTATATTTATTTATTCATTTTTTTTTTTTTTTTTTTTTTTTTTATATCCGGGAAGCCGCATTATTCCAGATGTCCTCGTATACTCGTATGTTTGTGCACATGTATGTACAGCCTGTCCTGCGTGCCTCACATGTGTGAGGGGGATGGACCACATGGGCCATCAATCCCAGCATCCCTCGTTAGCGGTTGGTGGTGTTTGTAGTCTCTGCCGTTGGGGAAGGTTAGGTTTTTTTTTTTTTTTTTTCCCTGTGATTTGTCTCCCTGGCTGAGCAGGAATGGGGAAGCTGACCTGCAGTTCATGCGCTGGGTCTGACCATAGAAAGTGATGTTTTAGTGTTTAGTGCAGATTGCAGTAAGGCGTTTGTGGCGGCCATCCTCTCAGGCCCCCCTCTGCGGACCTGTGCACGGGTAGCGCTCTTCCCGGTCCGGCAGGGGGTGCGGCGCCATCGCTCTGTCTCCAAGCCCCCCCCCCCAGGTAGACATGCAGCTGAGTCACGACTCCCATTCCTTGAAACTGAGGAGCAGCCTTCCTGGAAACACCCCCTCCTGTCCTGATTGTTTCACAGAAATGCAAACCTGTGAGCCGGCCCAGAAGTCTGCCCCCTGCTGGTGATGCCGGCGGTGGTCATGCTTGCCTGTGAAACTGCTGGCTGCTGAATGGGCCTGTTTGTGATCAGAGTGGAAAGGAGTGAGGAGACGGCTGACTGAATATTCTTTAGGGCTGATGGTCTTCAGTACCTTCTTAATGAGCTTCATCAGAGCACAAGATCAGGCATGGAAACTGAGGAAGCGCCCATGAACCCAGCAGCTCCCCCCTCCCCAGCCTTGGCTCGTACCCCTAGCTGTCCCATGCGATTGGGCCACTGCCCCAGACCCTGCCTCTGTACAGCCAGCCCCTCCCCGTTTGGCCCCAGCAATGACTCCTCCAGGCCCCCTCCCACCCCCCCACAAAGCACTTAATGTATTATTATTATTGGAATTGAATTGCCAGCTTTAAACCAAGTGTTGATTCCTAGTGAAGAAAATGTCAAATAAATTTATTGAATGTTAAGTGTCTGTGTGCGAGTGGTTATTAAACTTCGGTTGTGACTCATCGCGTAGTTGTATAATACTTAACTGCTTCTGTCCACCAGGGGGCAGTGCGGGGCACCGCATAAGTGGACGCTGAAGCACAGCTGGTTGTTAGCCTACACTTACAGTTATGCAAATTTTCCTAAGAGCTTGCATTGTTCAGATGGCCCTGAGCGCACACAATGCAGACTAAGGAGGTACGTAGAGACAGGGCATTTCTGCATTGCTGTCCATCAAAACCTCGGCACAGCTGTGCGTTCCGAGACTTCGTTTCCTCCAGTTTTTTTTTTCTCTCTTACACCAAAGAGGAAGGAAGATCTGCCGTTGCGCCTCCTCATGGCTTCTCTCTTTTCCTTATCACTGTGGTGTCCTTCTGTCACTTTCCCAGGTGGCGAGAGAGCGCGAGTACCGTATCTGCGTGTGGCCTGTGATGGATCGCCTTGCCTTTCTGCCGTTAGTCTCCAGACTCGCTCGCCGCACCCCTTGAATACACTGTCGTATACCATAGATCCTTTCACATCTGCTGCTGCCCAGATGTTATGACTGAACACGACTTCTTCATAACTCTGTCCTTCCCTGTCTTTGGTAGAAGCAGAGGTTATTGCCATGACGATCCTCAGAGCCGTGTCACTTGTCCTGCACGTCCTCGCCCTGAGTGTCCATGGGGACGCCTCTTCGCCAGGTGGGTACTCCTCCCTTAACGCTTGTATCCTGCTCAGGAAAGTTCCCTTAGATTGTTTACCAAGTTCGCTGTTTCATCATTTGCTGGATTAACTGAATGGGTGGAGGGGGATGTTTAAGGGCTATAACGGAGCGCTAAATAGTCGCTTGAGGAAGAGGAGTCCCTCTGGTTTTCACAGCACTGTAGTTCAGCAGGGGGGATTCCCTTTTCCCTGATTTACCTATAGGTGTAGTGAAAGTCAGCATCACTGGGGCAGGGATACCCCCCTTAGCTTTAGCACTGACAGCCGGCTAGGCTACCCGGCCCATGTGACTTGAACCGGACTCGCTGGCAATGGGCTGGTCTATTCATGCTGGCTTTGTCCTGCAGAGACTTGTAATTACTTAGCACTGACTGTGCCGTCCAGAAATTTCATGTCGTTTGACGGCTATTTCCTTCAGTTTGTTTTGTGACATAACCTGTTACATAGCCTCATTCTTAAAAATGTAATTATAATTTGTGTAATAGTTTGCAGCCCACAAAAAAAGAACATTTTAGTATTCATTTTCTCAACACACTTGATCAAATAATGTGAAGCTTTAGTAAATGTGACACTTGGATTAGTGGAGCTGGAGCAAAAGTGATCAGAGCAGTGTTTCCCAGTCCAGTCCTTGGGGACCCACAGCCGGTCCATGTTTTTGCTGCCTCCCAGCTCTCTACCAGTGAATGTGGGCCGGCTGTGGGTCCCCGAAGGACCGGATTAGGAAGCGCTGGATAAGAGCCTGAGCTGAATGAGGTACGTGTGAAGTGCTCTTCCTGTTTGAAGGCTCATTATTTTGTGGCCGTATGTGACACCCAGGTTTCTCCCTACCCCCGTGTAATGTGACGCTCCAAACTCTGGATCTGGGCAGCTTCCTGCACTGGGAATGCCCCCCGATGCCCCCCAACACCACTTTCACGGTCGAGACCCGCACGCAGGGGTGAGTGTGTTCGTGTGAGACCGTGTGACCAAGGCTGTGGGTGCCTGCCTGTTTCTGCTGTTCAATATGATTTGGGCTGATGTGTCAGAGGCAAAAGTGCTGTCGGACATATAAAGAGCTTTCTTTTGGACAGGAAGAGCCATGTAGGCTGGGCTGAACGGAACCCCTGCTATTTCCTGACTTTTTTCAAAGACGTTTGTCATAGTCTGCAACAAAAAGGGTCTTAGGTGCCAGGACCCCCTGTCATATGCCCTGTATGTCAGTCTGTCTTTTTATAGACCTCTCTGTACAGAAGACCCCCTTTCGCCAAATTGCAAGCCGGAGAGCCCTGTTCAGATTAGTTCTGGTCGATGCTTAAGGTCAGCAAATGTCAGGGAGACATTTCAGGGAGCAATGCACGAGCTGAGAAGTCAGGTCGCGATCGGAGAGCATCTCATCTGTGGTTTGCAGAAACCTCAGAAACAAAATCATGTAGATGAGTCATCTGTGATTAATCTGCTCTTTCTCTTGTAGTGTCTCAATTCAAACGGCGAAGCCTTCTTTTGGGTGTAATACTTTATCAGAGTTATTAATCTAACCATCCTATCAGTCTTCGCTTTCAGGTACTCCCTCCTCTAAGACTAATGTGACTGAGTAATATCATTAATCTGCTGGTTGTGATGCAAGCAGAATAAGAAAAAAACAAACAAACTTCAGATTAAGTGCCAGTTTGGGCTCGTACCCAAGTCAGGGTGTCCCTCTGCCCCCAAGCTTACTATCATCCTGTAATGCTTAAGTGGTTATGGAAGACGGATGGATACAATCTTTGCAAGCTCTGACAGATAGTGAGCTGGCTTTGCTGAGTCTGTGGTTTCGCCTGGGGTAACAGCGATTGCGTCATTGCGCCCAACTTGACAAAAGCTCATCATTTGAATCTGAAATTGAATTTGAATCATTTTCTCCATCGCCCTTTGATTGCCCCTCAGAAAGCCCAGGTGGAAGAAGGTGGCGCAGTGCACTGCTGTGACCTCCCGTAGCTGTGACCTCTCACAGGCCTTCACCAAATTAGCCCTGTACAACTTCATCCGGCTGTATAGGACGACGCCTGGAGAGCATCCAGCCTGGACGTGGCAGGGCAAGGTTGATCTGAGTAAGCTCTCCCCATAAAACCCAAACCGTAATGGCTGCAGAAATGGACTCTCACCTTGGGGTCCCTCCCTTCTGCTTGATGGTGGTTTGCTCTCTTCTTGGTGGTCTTCAGCGCCCCCTCCCTAACCCTCTCTTCTCAGTGGTCTTCAGCACCCCCTCCCTAACCCTCTCTTCTCAGTGGTCTTCAGCACCCCCTCCCTTACCCTGTCTTCTCAGTGGTCTTCAGCGCCCCCTCCCTTACCCTGTCTTCTCAGTGGTCTTCAGCGCCCCCTCCCTTACCCTGTCTCTCAATGGAAGCTGGCTGAGAGTAGAGCTGTGGTTCCCCACCTCTCTCAGCAAGTCCCTCTGCCCAGACAAAATGACCTGCTCTGTTGCTACGGTGATGAAGCCCACAACCGACATTATGGTGTATGAGGTGCACCAACCCTGCGGACACCAGGTACCACTACTGCCCCCATCTTCCTAGCTGGTCTCCTGCTTTCTTGCATCACTACATCATCGATTATGTCAGTATAGTGTAGAACTGTGCCTCTTTCTGGGGGCTGAGTCCTCAAGCTTCGGATTCTTACCTCCTTGCCCTTCTTCTCCCAAGCCTCTGGAGTTCTCTGGTGCTCCAGCGACCTCCTCCTCCACCTGTGATCACCTCCTCCATCTGCCCCCATGGCAGACACACAACCTGCAGGTCATGGAGGAGCCGGTGAGCTTTGAATTCGAGAATCTGAAGGAGGGATGGAGCTACTGTGCGGTGGCCAACTTCACGGGCAGCGCCACGGCTGCCCCTAGCTGCATCTCCCTGCCCCCCCGGGTCACAGGTGGGCCGCCTCCCTCTGTAAAAGTCAAAGGGCCAAAACAAAAGGGGCTGTTTCTGGGTTGACTGAATGGGCGAATGGGAGATTCCGGCCATGTTTTCACGCGTGTGTTTCCTGTGTAGTGCTGAAGCCCCTGCTGCTGACTCTGGGGGCTTGCGGTATACTCTTCATCTCTGCAGCCATCCTCTTCCTCTTCAGAAGATACTGGCCGTCGACTGAGTCCCCTCTCCCCAGACCTCTGGTGTGCTGTCGTCCTGGCACATCATGAGCTCATTAACACATTAACAAGCACTGTGGGGGTGGGGGCTGTGTGTGGTGTGCAGGCAGTCACAGACCCCCAATTAATAGTGAAACGTTGTCATGACAATCACACCGTTTCTGTGACTGTCTGTCATT